GTTTTTCTTTCATACTGTTTTAACAAAAATTGTCAACTTCAGGTTTTCGGTAGGGGTTAATGTTCGAATGTGTAATTTTGTGAAACAAACTTCAAAAAACTTCTTCTCAATAACCAAGTGACCCAAGGTCATAATATTTATCGAATATTCATGCTCAAAGCAATGGACTATCAAGTTTGATAATATGAATGACCTTGACCCATGTTCAAGGTCACTGGGGTCAATTATGAAAAAAAATCTTCAAAAGACTCCTTCTCAATGACGGAAATGCCCAGGGTATTGGTATTTGGTCTGTGGCATGCTAGGATGATGGGCTACAAGGTTTATGGACATGCATTACCATCAAAGATCAACTTCCGGTATATGATAGAGGTTAAATTCGAACAAGTGACAAATTTCAAACATTCCAGGACTTTTACCACTGGTGGAAGTGAAGTAGCTCGTACTATTTACGAGTTCTTTCCCTTCCACCAGTAGTAAAAGTCCTGGTAGAATTGTTCACCTACAAATATACCTCAATGGTGTGATATAGGTGAAAAGCCCGTCAAATTGTTAACCAACAATTTTTAGTTTACTATTTTTGTTTTTATTATTTTATCATGCACTTTGCCCATATGGCACGTAAGGCCTTTCATTTTCTTGTACTCAGTTTTGTCGGATAAAAGCGCGCTGGCGGGTTTAATGTGGGAGGATATCATAGAATCCGGAGAAAACGCACGCGGTCGGCATTGCTGGATCTACATGTAACCACTGTTACCGTTACGTAAACCTGTGGGTTGTTTTGATATCATACCTTCTATATAAATGTCGTTATCTGATAAGTTGAGAAAGACGAGGGGATTAAAATGTTTTCTGTTTGTTTTACGGTGTACTGAAGGTTATTTTCATACAAGGATAACATTCACAAAAACAATATTAGATGCTTCAAAATGCGCACAAAGTATGTCTCATCGATTACTCGTGTGATCACCAAAACGGTTGTTGGCTATTCTCTACTGAACATGTTGAAACGTTTATTTGACGTTGATTGTTGATGGTGGTGGCATATTTTCAACCATCGGAGGGTATTGTTGGCCTCATGTTCGCCTCGGTAAACAATGCTTCCTCAGTATGAAAGTATGCAATTCCGCCCTGTCATAACTGTAGCATTTATATAGTGTAGGCTCGTAGTGGTAGGGCACCAGTGCCGTGACACCAGCATTACGTAAGCCAGAGTCCCGGTGTGCCGAGGCACGTAAGCGTAGAGACAATTTCAGGAATAGATGTACATACACGTGGAGAGAATAAAGGCACTTGTACCTATTACCATACCACCAGTCGAGTATATCTTTCTGAGAGCATGCTTGTTTTTGTTCCGTCAACTTCCTGTCCCCCACTCCTCAATGTGCACGAGCAATACACGAGAGCAAACATGTATTTGTAAGTCAATGATTATGTATTGGGGTCCGTGAGCTTATCTTCCTTTCTTTGGGAACTAATAATGATCATTTATATGGGAGTGGCAACAAAACTAATATTTTCGAAACATTTGAATCCATTTTTCTGAGCCGTGTTTTAAAATAATGTTATTTGTCACCAGTGCCCCGTAGCTTTGCGTCAGTGTTTTTGGCCCTTCATCATCAGTACCCCATAGTGTTGTATCAGATTCTTTGGCCCTTCCTCGCCAGTGCCCCTTAGTGTTGTATCATGGCCCTTCCTCGTCAGTACCCTATAGTGTTGTATCAGATTCTTTGGGCCTTCCTCGTCAGTGCCCCTTATTGTTGTATCATGGCCCTTCCTCGTCACTGCCCCATATTGTTGTATCAGATTCTTTGGGCCTTCCTCGTCAGTGCCCCTTAGTGTTTCTATCATGGCCCTTCCTCGTCAGTACCCTATAGTGTTGTATCAGATTCTTTGGGCCTTCCTCGTCAGTGCCCCTTATTGTTGTATCATGGCCCTTCCTCGTCATTGCCCCATATTGTTGTATCAGATTCTTTGGGCCTTCCTCGTCACTGCCCCATATTGTTGTATCAGATTCTTTGGGCCTTCCTCGTCAGTGCCCCCTTAGTGTTGTATCATGGCCCTTCCTTGTCAGTACCCTATAGTGTTGTATCATGGCCCTTCCTCGTCAGTACCCTATAGTGTTGTATCATGGCCCTTCCCTGTCAGCGCCCGATTATTGTATCCTTCATCATCACGTGGTACTACTACCTTTTAGTGCCATTTGGATTCGCGCGGAACTGTACCTATGATTGTTTGGTGTTACGTGGTAACAAGAGGTTTGTGTTAGTTCCTAGTCACTCTTGTAAATCAGAATAATCACAAATATCATCACATTTACAAGTAGTCACAAGTTTCCATACATTAAACACATCGCAAATGGCGCTGTGGTTCTTTAACATGCATTACTATTGCTGATAACCTTAATTAAGCCCGGTAGAGATTTGTGTTATACTTTGTCAGCGTGGTATAGTACACGTTTACCATTACATATATTTACATTTTCAACGAGTAGTTAAACATTCTATCCACTTATTTCATGATACTAACGTCAGTTTGTGAAGTTCTTGGAACATCAGTTTCAGTGTTGTCACAATCAGAGAGGTGACGTCATAATAGTGGGAGGATTCGCAACAAATGTAGAACAAATCTTAGTCTAAAGGTTGTCAGTGTCACGTGGTACAACCACGGAATTTCGTGGGCTGTAAAACTTATAGAAGTCTTAAGTGGTCAGAATATATATAGTATCGTAAAATACATTTACAAAAATACACCCGTACAGTCCAAAGTCTTACGTGGTCAGAATATATATAGTATCGTACATTTACAAAAACACACACGAACAGTCCGAAGTCTTGAGTGGTCAGAAAATAATACGTATCGTAAAATACATTTACAAAAACACACCCGTACTGCCCGAAGTCTTACGTGGTCAGAAAATAATAGTATCGTAAAACACATTTACAAAAACACACCCGTACAGTCCGAAGTCTTAAGCCGTCAGAATATATATAGTATCGTAAAATACATTTACAAAAACACACCCGTACAGTCCGAAGTCTTAAGCCGTCAGAATATACATAGTATCGTAAAACACATTTACAAAAAACACACCCGTACAGTCCGAAGTCTTAAGCCGTCAGAATATATATAGTATCGTAAAATACATTTACAAAAACACACCCGTACAGTCCGAAGTCTTAAGCCGTCAGAATATACATAGTATCGTAAAACACATTTACAAAAAACACACCCGTACAGTCCGAAGTCTTAAGCCGTCAGAATATATATAGTATCGTAAAATACATTTACAAAAACACACCCGTACAGTCCGAAGTCTTACGTGGTCAGAATATATATAGTATCGTAAAACACACTTACAAAAACACACCCGTACAGTCCGAAGTCTTACGCGGTCAGAATATATATAGTATCGTAAAACACATTTACAAAAACACACCCGTACAGTCCGAAGTCTTAAGCCGTCAGAATATACATAGTATCGTAAAACACATTTACAAAAACACACCCGTACAGTCCGAAGTCTTAAGCCGTCAGAATATACATAGTATCGTAAAACACATTTACAAAAACACACCCGTACAGTCCGATGTCTTAAGCCGTCAGAATATATATAGTATCGTAAAACACATTTACAAAAACACACCCGTACAGTGCGAAGTCTTAAGCCGTCAGAATATACATGGTATCGTAAAACACATTTACAAAAACACACCCGTACAGTCCGAAGTCTTAAGCCGTCAGAATATATATAGTATCGTAAAATACATTTACAAAAACACACCCGTACAGTCCGATGTCTTAAGCCGTCAGAATATATATAGTATCGTAAAATACATTTACAAAAATACACCCGTACAGTCCAAAGTCTTACGTGGTCAGAATATATATAGTATCGTAAAACACATTTACAAAAACACACCCGAGCAAGTCCGAGGTCTTACGTGGTCAGAATATACATAGTATCGTAAAACACATTTACAAAAACACACCCGTACAGTCCGAAGTCTTACGTGGTCAGAATATAAATAGTATCGTAAAATAAATTAGCATAAACACACCCGTACAGTCCGAAGTCTTACGTGGTCAGAATATATATAGTATCGTAAAACAAATTTACAAAAACACAACCGTACAGTCCGAAGTCTTGAGTGGTCAGAACATACATAGTATCGTAAAACACATTTACAAAAACACACCCGTACAGTCCGAAGTCTTGAGTGGTCAGAACATACATAGTATCGTAAAACACATTTACATAATGAAATAAGATGTCTCCTTTACCTGAGTCAGACCTGAGAGTCTGATAATAATATCTCGTTACTTAGGAGTGTTGTGTTCAAAGGTATACGGTGGGCACGAGTTATTCTGACAACAATGATTATAATTAATTATATGACAACTTCAAAACTAAAGCGTCATAAATTAAAATTGAGTACAGTTTAAGAGAGCTAATGTCAATGACTCTTTACCAAAAGTAGTTTCGGCGTATAATATAAAAAAAAATGAAGTAAAAAGGCAACAGTTTATCCAAATTTTCTATTGGGCTTGCAGGTGAGAAAATATGAAAAACTGTTCAGAAAGATATGTTGATGGTTTAGAGAGGTGTTGCTAGGCCTGGTGAGCGTTTGTTACTACACATTCTACTGCATGGTGTATGATTGTGTGAGACGTTTATTATTGTTCTATATACTACAGGTAGGTAGGGTCATAATGTGTACCATGCTAGATTCACCTGGTATGTATACTCCGAATGTACTCCTGGCCAAAACCAGTACCAGTGTAGCACCCAGACCCCCTAGACCTCTCTCGATCATCACTCTATCCACTAGTGTCGCTGCTGCTGCCTGTTTAACAAGGAGTACATCTAGTGTCTGTCATACCTGTAGTTTTAGCTATGAACCCCACCCAATAACACCTCCCATACACACAGGTAAACTCACCTATGTGATTGTTTTATAAATAGTATGGCTTATGTGTCTGCTGTATCTTCCTGTCAGGCAAGACGAACCTCGCTACCCCAGCTGCCACGTGACCCGGAGAAAAGCCGGAAGTCTTCATCCATTGGTCACTTGAGATCTCTGACAGCGATGACCGACTCTGACGATGATGATTCTGGAGGTAACGACGTATGTGTGAAATGTAACCGGAGGAAGGTGGCGATTAGCGACAGCGATGGGCGAGTGAATGGCAACTGTTTTCCACTTGAGAACAGGCCAGATGACAAAATGGCGTTCAGTGCGGCGATAGTTGTCGGCGGAGGAAGAGGAGGAGGTGGTGGTGGTGGTGGTGGAATTCTGAAAAACAGAAATCGAGTGAATTTAGACAATGTGGAATTACAGGAAGTATGTAGATGCCCAAATACTGAGAGTTGTAAATACAAAAACCGCGAAACTGTGATATTAAACGTTGGTGGTCAAGTGTTCGAGACACTCAAAACCACCCTTAAAAGATTAAAAACATGCAAGTTAGCTCGAGATAGTGAGATGATGAAACATTACAGGGAAACTAAAGGAGACTTTTTCTTCGACAGAGATCCTCAGGCCTTCAGTGTGATACTTAATTACCTACGGACAGGAGAGCTCCATTTACCAACATACTTGTGTGGTCCCGCTCTCCAACGAGAGTTTGAATATTGGGGCGTACAGGAAATGGACATTGAACGTTGTTGTTGGCAACCATACAACACGTGGAAAACGCAAAATCAGTCATTAGAAAAATTGGAATATGACCGGAAGCGATCGACTACTCTGAAAGAACTTGAGGAAGACCGGAAGAGTGCTAGCTGTTGGAAGAGGAGCCGTGCCAGAGTTTGGAACTTTCTTCAGGACCCGAACTCATCATGTTGCGCAAAGGTGAGTTATATTTCTTTCCGTATTCGTTGAGCGTTTTCTCTGGATATACTTAGGAAGTAGTTTGTATCGCCTATTAAAAAGCACGAACAATGTTTTAATTCGTCTATGAATTTGTTTATAAGAGAATAAGATATTTAAATTAGTTATTCACTGTCATATTTTGTTCAAATGTTTACCACCGTTTTGGTGCATATGTTTTAGTGTCGCGGTTAAGGTGAGCTAAGTCGGTTACGCTGTTTAGCTGAGCCGAGCTGTTGACGCTATGTAGGTCAGCGAAGTAATAACAAGTTTCCAGTGAGCTGAATATGTGACGCGGTTTAGCTGAGCTTAGTCGTTGACGCGGTTTTGCTGAGCTTAGTCGGTGATGTGGTTAAGCTGAGCTTAGTCGTTGACGCGGTTTAGCTGAACTAAGTCGTTGACGCGGTTTAGCTGAACTTAGTCGTTGACGCGGTTAAGCTGAGCTTAGTCGTTGACGCGGTTTAGCTGAGCTTAGTCGTTGACGCGGTTTAGCTGAACTTAGTCGTTGGCGCGGTTTAGCTGAACTTAGTCTTTGACACGGTTAACTGAGATTAGTCGTTGGCGCGGTTAAGGTGAGCTTAGTCGTTGACGCGGGTTAGCTGAGCTTAGTAGTTGTTGCGGTCCTGTATCTTATATATTATTGATTGCATGCGTAAGTGATAGACAATTAAAACCGCTTGTTGTAGCAAAGAAACAATCAAAAAAGCGCAAAATGAATCATTGACTGATTTTGTGTATCGTCAAATAAAATAATGATCATGGTTACAGGATACATAGTGTTTACGACAATGGAGGAACTACGGTGCGTTAGTGTATATTGATAGAGATTCACAGTCGGTTGTTTGATTACCCTGACATCTGCCTAAAACATAACGTAGGCGAGCTACTCAACTATCAATTATCAAAGTGGAAATGTGGGTTGTGGTGTTGCATTCTTGTTTACGTACAATCAGTGGCCTTTATGGTGGTGGTCTGATCTACAGCCATGTTGACAGGCGTAGACGTGTTAACGGAAACACTGTTACGGTGATATTCCCGTGTCACTCCGTACTGTAGATACAACCCCGAGTCTTGGGTTACCTAGGATACACCCGTGTCACTCCGTACTGTAGATATAACCCCGAGTCTTGGGTTACCTAGGATATTCCCGTGTCACTCCATGCTATAGATGTAACCCCGAGTCTGTGTTAATCTAGTTTACACCCGTGTCACTCCGTACTGTAGATATAACCCCGAGTCTGAGGTTACCTAGGACACACCCGTGTCACTCCGTACTGGAGATATAACCCCGAGTCTTGGGTTACCTAGGATACACCCGTGTCACTCCGTACTGTAGATATAACCCGGAGTCTGAGGTTACCTAGGATACATCCGTGTCAGTCCGTACTGTAGATATAACCCCGAGTCTTGGGTTACCTAGGATATTCCCGTGTCACTCCGTACTGTAGATGTAACCTCGAGTCTGAGGTTACCTAGGATACATCCGTGTCAGTCCGTACTGTAGATATAACCCCGAGTCTGAGGTTACCTAGGATATACCCTTGTCACTCCGTACTGTCGATATAACCCCGAGTCTTGGGTTACCTATGATACACCCGTGTCACTCCGTCCTGTAGATATAACCCCGAGTCTGAGGTTACCTAGGATTCATCCGTGTCACTCCGTACTGTAGATGTAACCTCGAGGCTGAGGTTACCTAGGATACATCCGTGTCATTCCGTACTGTAGATATAACCCCGAGTCTGAGGTTACCTAGGATTCATCCGTGTCACTCCGTACTGTAGATGTAACCCCGAGTCGGAGGTTACCTAGGATACATCCGTGTCAGTCCGCACTGTAGATATAACCCCGAGTCTGAGGTTACCTAGGATCCACCCGTGTCACTCCGTACTGTAGATATAACCCGGAGTCTGAGGTTACCTAGGATACATCCGTGTCACTCCGTACTGTAGATGTAACCCCGAGTCTGTGATTACTTAATACACACGGCTCATCTTTTTAAGACACTACCTTATGATGTTTACTTACCTGTCCACATTCTCGTCCTGTCTTGTCTTTGCCCTTCTCCTTGTTCGTTTCCTCGTTTTCTCGCTTTTGTCCGCGCCCTTTTCCTCAACCTAATCTTATACACTTGACCGCAATTTGGTCTTCGCCATTTGTCTTTGTTCCTGTCCTCACTGTTTTTCCTCATGCTTTCTCTTCGCCCTTTTTTTCAGAGCTATTTCCTCGCTCGTTTTCTATCCCTTTGTCATTGCCCGTGTCCGCGAACTTGTCCTATATCCTTAAACTTGCTCTCGCACTTCGTCCTCGATGCTCTCCTCGGCCTTGTCGTCACCGTTTGTCCACGCTCTTTGTCCTCACCCTTTCTTTCAGACCTTTGACCTCGACCTTGGCCTTTTTATTACGTATTCTTCTTGTTGTCCTTTCTTTTGTCCACGCTTCTGCCATTGCTTTTTGTCCTCACCATTTTCCCCAGTCTTGTCCCGTCCTTATCTTCGTTCTTGCCCTCGCCTTTTGTCCTTGTTTTGACCTGGCAATCATCCTCGCCTTTTGTCGTTTCCATTATCCTCGCTCTGGTCGCTGCTCCGGTTCTTCCCTTTTACTCGATCATTGTTCACGTCCTTGTCCTCGGTCTTGTTCTCGCCCATTACCTCTCTCTTTATCTCGCCTTTTGCCTTTGCTTTTGTCGTGACCCTCTGTAATCGACTGTATCATCGCTCTCTTCTTTCGCTCTGCCTCCTTTTCCTCGCATTTAACCTCGCTCTTGACCTTCACCCTCATTCTTGTCCTTACCCTTTGTCGTCGCTGGTGTCATGGCCGTATGCCCTCGCCCTTTTACCTTGCCCTAGTTGTTGCCCTTTGTACTCGCGCTGCGCTATACTGCTCTCGTAGTAAGTTAATGCTCGATTTACGTAACAATTTCTTGTTTAAAAATCAGCGACTTGTGCCGCGGAAACATACACTTACCAAACGGTATTTTTCTATAAGGTTCTATAACATTCATCAATCATCTTTTATATCATAACAATTCCGGGCATCTATTTAAATATGTGACTAATATATGTCTTGAATTACAGTGTATTGGGCGAGTGTCAATATCTATTGAATTAACGAACAGTATCCAACGTTTTCTTGAACTTTGGGAAAGTTGCAAACACTTTTTAAAAGTTTTCAGTTTGATCAACCTTGATAGGAGTTGATAGCCATGCAGCATTTAATGAAAATCAAAACAAACTATCGGGGGATATACCTATAAATATACACTAAAAGAGGAAAGTGTATGTATATAGTAAATTGTTGAACGATTGAGAAAGCATTTTTTAAATATATAAACTTTATTTATTTTACAACAATTATGAAACAAGTTATGTTAACTTATATTAATCACTCTTGTTGGCCCGGATATTAGCACGCGATGGGCTTTGTGTGGGAGGAAACCGGAGTACCCGGAGAAAACCCAAGAAGTCGGGCAGGTGGCCCCGAAAGCATTTATTGAATAATGGGCCAATATTTAACAAGTATTCGTCCTTTGGGCGTAGAAATTATTCCGGCTAAATCCAAACTTTGACAAAAAGAAGCCATTTAATGATTGCTTGCATTATTAAAACATGTGATATGTTCGAACTTCTTGTAAGACACTTTATTCTTATATATGTTTTCTTAAATTAGTTATTGACCTAGATATCTACGATTATCATTATAATGTTGGTGTTAAATGTCTGAAAGAAACGGCAGAAATCAACTACCATAGGCTAGTAATATCTCTTCCAACAAATATCTACAGATGCGTCACAGACACACACGTGTATCAGAGCTGTAGTAATGGGTTTTAAATAGCGTCGTTTGACAGAATCCAGTAGTCATGTTCTCCTTACTTTTTTCGCAACGGTCCTATTTTTTCGTCGACAGAAATGATAGGATGTCAAAAATAAGAATGTTTGATTAGTGGAGTCAGTGCTAATGTTTCAGTGTTGGGGGAGTATTTTGGAGGGGAAGTCAGGACGAGGTTCTGTCGTTATATTACTAGTTACCGTCTGTCCTTTATCACTCTGAAATTGGCAACGTGCTTAATACAAGGATACCAGGAACAACTGTGTATCACTGCTCTCATCCGGGTACTCAGCCTGCCAAACACAACACTCCGTCATGTTTTAATACGTACAACACGGAATAGGGAACATCAGTACTGAAACAATAGTTGGTTTACATCAAAATAATTTACAATGCAGATGGTACTTTCTTATTCGTCCGATTAAACGTCCCTCCGTCTGTCACACATCGATTTCATATAACTTAAGCTATAACAGAAATCCAAATCAGTCCCGCGTACCATGCCCTAGAAGTCTAACGGAAGGAGGTGGTATTATAGGTCACGCGTTAGAAAGCCTATTTAGTCAGAAACGGATCACGGATCACTTACAAACATATCGACCAAGACGGAGTGTGTTTGGCTGCATCCCGAACGGTCTATATCTGTCTGGCTGTTCAGGACACGTAACGAGTGTCAATACGGAAGGATACGAGCTCTAATGCTTGGGAAACATGCTCTCGTCCATTACTAACCGACCGACGAGGAGGTCCCCAGGAGCAGACGGGGTTAATGTGACGTGACGGCACCCTTATCGCTAACCAAAAACCAATCAGAACCCGCACGAATGAAAATTGGAGTTGCGTCGTTCCAAACAAAAGTCTGCAGGAATAGCTCCCAGGGGTTAAAACTGTTTTTGTTTGTAAATCCGACCCCCAACAAAATATGTCTTGCTAGGTTTTGTCATTACCTGTTCATGCTGACGGTATACCTCTTCGGGTCATCTGACCCCAATTCCATTCACAGGATTAATTCCAAAATTATCATAAATGATCCTGAGACGATGCGGACAAAGTGATGTTATTGTTTGGGTCAGTCCAACATCCATGATAGCCGACATAGCGGCCATTTCTAAAAACAATGTGTTTCAATCTTTTAATTTTTCTTTTCAACTTGGTTTGATTGAGCCAAAACTAGATAGGTTAATTTCAAAATGGTGGCTATGGCAGCCGTCTTTAAATGTGTTTTGCACTAATTTATCTTTATCAACTTAATGGGCGTCTTATTTCTTTATAAAATAATTTAAATATGTAAAACTAAATGCATGAATACAGTACAAGTATCGATATGTAATTATAAGTGCATCATTCTTATCTTCAAGAGAAAGTCACATTCTTTTATGAAATAACGTGTGTACATTTAAATGACATTTATTCTTGAGGGTAATAATATATACCTCTTGTGTTTCAGATATACGCCTGGATTTCCATCGTGTTTGTGTTCATGTCAATATTTTCGTTCTGTGCGGAGACCCATCCCGACTTCCAGGTCCATCCGTCTACAACACAGGGCTACGAGGATCTGTACAATCTCTTCGCTCTTAAAGACAAACTCATGATTGACGTGAAGGAAACGTCCGGGGTCAGGGACCTCTCCAACGTCACTATAAGTGTAGACAACAAGACACTTCCGGGGGAGGAGGCGGAGGACGACGTCAACACCGTGCCACATCCAGCCCTCCTCATTATCGACCTCATCTGCGTCACATTCTTCACTCTGGAGTTCGTTACTAGATTCGTGTTCTGTCCAAGAAAGGTCCAGTTTATCACTGCCTTACAAAACATCATAGATTTTGTAGCAATTGTCCCGGACTATATCGAGTTTATTATCCACGCATTCTATCCTTCAGGAAGTGAATTGCCTTTTATGGATTTTATTGTTATATTGCGCATGCTCAGGTTATGCAGGATCTTTCGATTGATCCGCCATGTCCCTGGATTGTGGATTCTATTATATACTCTTAAAGCTAGCTTCAACGAATTATTGCTCATGTTTGTTTTCTTATTAATAGGAATGGTTGTATTTGCCTCGTTGATTCATTTTGCGGAAGGTAAAAAAGGATTCGATAACATACCTATCGGATTTTGGTGGAGTGTCGTTACCATGACAACAGTAGGTTACGGAGATATGCATCCCACCACAGCGTTTGGTTACATTATAGGATCTTTGTGTGCCATTTCCGGTTTGCTCATGATCGCATTCACCGTTCCGATCATTGTCAGTAACTTTGTTCTGTATTATACGCATGTGCAGTATGGCATAGTACGACACGAGCGCGAAAAGTCGAAACTTCTGGATTTTAACTCTGACGATGAGGAATGTTGTGTAGATCATTCAGAAAATCCAGAGAGCGAAACAGCAGAACAAAGACAGTCTTTCAAAAACAAAAGAGACCGAAGTCCGACTGACAAAACTCTGCCACGAGAAATGGGAGTGCCCGAACTCTTTAGTTCCAAGTCAACGGATGGTAATTTCAACAAGTTATGATAGTGCGTGCAATGTACCGTCCGTATAGCCAAACTGAGTACTGATAAGTTTGTTTATAATGGCCATGACCTTCAATATGTCTCATAACCGTGGCAAAATGTTTTATTACCTTTTGTTGAAGGTTAAAGTAACATTATCTCTAATTATAACTTGTTTCCTTTTGTTACCCGATATATTCGTTAATCCATTCCATATAAATTCCGTGTTGCCTATCTATGACACGACGCCTATATGCAAAGAGAACTCACCAAGGGTTGTCTCCCCATTCCTGGGGTAGTATTTCGTTATAACAACAAATCAGATAAATAATAATGGTAGTTTTCAGCGATTTATCTTCGTAAGAAATGAATAGCTTAGTTTATGGACAGAAAACTTTCCATGATTTAATACCGTTTTCAAGGGGAGGAATGTTTTTCTACCGGTGTCGGATTCCTCTTGGTGATGTGGCGACTCAGTGTCCTGTGATTATTAATTTAAACTTGGCATTAAACTGTGATTTTGTTTTTTGTGTATACCCATGGATTACACCTTCTTACCGATTCCTTAGAGCTATATCTGTGCAAGCCATATGTCACATAGTGTTCAAGCATTTCTTATTGTATTGTCTAAGAAACGTTTTGCTTAGATATTACAGTCGGAAAGGGAATGGTGATAAAATCATTAGAGAAAGGAAAACGCACTCAATTTTCTACATAATAGTGACTCGATACCTACCATGTATACCGGATTATGACGTAGTTGTAATATATTAGTACTAAAACACGACATAGCTGTTATATATTAGTGAAATAGATTAAAATTACCAAACACTAAACAATTTGCGTGAGCAGATTTTATATATAGATCAGTTCAATTATAAGACTCATTCCCATAACTTGTTATTATAGAACCAACCCACACGTTACTCGCCTCAATTTTACTTCAAATCAGATTCCTAAATTTAAGATGTCAATGTGATATCGACATATACGTGCCATTATAGTAGTTGGTGTCATAGGGACCACAGGGACCTGAGAATTTGTTACAGCTATATTTGGATCTAAACTGAGGTGTTCAGAGTAATTGTACATGTTTTAGGGGTTTAGATTGACTTTCAGTAAAAATGACATCCCAATGATCATATTTATATATACGAAAAGTCAACCTTAAACCCTGTAAAATTACTCTGAACACCTTAGTTTAGGTCCAAATATAGCTTTAACAAATTCTCAGGTCCCTGAGATGGGGAGCTGTATGGCGAGCCAACTTAAATTATATAGTGAAGGAGCAATGTCGAACCTGTATTTCATATATCTTCAGATCTTTGTATACAATTAAGATGTCTTATACATAAATAAGATATATAATACTATATATCAGATACCTGGTACGTTATTTTAAGATATCCAACAAGAAAAATCAATTTATGATATATCATATAGTGTTTGATATGTCTTATATACGTTGGAAGTGTCTTATACTAGTCGTACACTTTAGTTTTAATATTTGGCCATGAATATCAGTTGAATAGAGTAAGTTGCCTTGTCATTTACCTGTACACTTCTACTATCAGGTAAATTTCAATCAATCAATCCTATTTAACGTTGACGGAAAAACCTTCAACCACCGGGGATAGCTTTCTTTATGTTCATAATTTGTCCTCGTTAAAACATTCTTTTGAACGAATAAACTTCTTAACCAAATCCCATTTGTATGCGCGTTAACTTCCATAAAAACGGGAGGATATTTGTTTTCAAATGTTACATAAATAAATTAAACATAACCCTTCAGTTGTTAACGGCAACTTTTGACACGAACTAGGGAGTTTAAATAACGAGTAGGCAAGCCTTATAAAACATACATAGCTACCAGTGGACATTATGAAACGTAATGTTTGTACAGTCATATAAAATCACTCATTAGGAGTTCGTATCGCCAAATAAGTATGAAATGACTTCTTGGTAATCCAGTTTTCTTTATCTTATGTTTCCTGCAGCGGTAACGTCCCAGTAAAAGGATTAACGTCCAGGCAATAAAAACACCATTTTTCAGTGTCGAGAGTCCGAGTCAGCTAGATGTTTGATTCAGTGTTATGGTGCCTTTCGTTTTTGCCTATTCAAATATCATTATTAATTAAAATATCTTATGAAAATGGGGAGAAGTTCCATTTTAAAATTTGATTAGACTTAATCAACTTCAATCTTTTACGAATGTTATTTATAATTTAGCTAGATTTTAGTAGAAAGTGTCTTGGACTTATAATAGAGTAACGTACATTTTTATCAACATTGTAAAAATCTTCTTGCGGAAATAATTTCCGTCCATTTTATTTGAAATATATCGGATTGGCATGTGTCCTGCACAATACTCACCACGTTCAGGTGGTTAACTTTTACTCCTTTTTAATCGTAGTCTAACTTAGTTATTTTACACTCTATGCAAGTTAACAATACGTCAATTAGGTATACAGTTATCGCCTCCTTGATAGACAAGTCAGACAACAGGGGGCGCTTCAAGCATTACTTCTGCCACTGCGTCTAACGATGATTGGACGTAAATAGGTTATTGTCCTTTTAACAATTTTGCACATTATATTTTGTATTTTGATATTAAAGAAATCGTCCTGTTGTCGCCCGTCTTCTTCTAGTCTTTGTATATCGACCTTTGCTTTTGAAACAATTGTGTCTCGAAGTTCGATCACAAATGTTTGGTCCAATCAACTGGCTTGGTACGTTTGGCCGCATATCTGATACTACTGCTAGTGGACTGTCTCCATACAGCAATCATCGATATATCATTTTCACAGTCTCGTTTACGCCAGAATAAGTATAATCAACGGCTGTTCTGTCTAAATAACAGTTACACAAACATAACTATACCTAGCAAGTGTACTGTCCCAATAACACAACCATAAGTATACCTAGCAAGTGTACTGTCTCAATAACACAACCACAAGTGTACCTAGTGAGTGTACTGTCTCAATAACACAACCACAAGTATACCTAGTGAGTGTACTGTCTCAATAACACAACCATAAGTATACCTAGCAAGTGTACTGTCTCAATAACACAACCACAAGTGTACCTAGTGAGTGTACTGTCTCAATAACACAACCACAAGTGTACCTAGCAAGTGTACTGTCTCAATAACACAACCATACGTATACCTAGCAAGTGAACTGTCTCAATAACACAACCACAAGCATACCTAGCAAGTGTACTGTCTCAATAACACAACCATACGTATACCTAGTAAGTGTTCTGTCTCAATAACACAACCATACGTATACCTAGCAAGTGTACTGTCTCAATAACACAACCACAAGCATACCTAGCAAGTGTACTGTCTCAATAACACAACCATAAGTATACCTAGTGAGTGTACTGTCTCAATAACACAACCATACGTATACCTAGCAAGTGTACTGTCTCAATAACACAACCACAAGCATACCTAGCAAGTGTACTGTCTCAATAACACAACCATAAGTATACCTAGTGAGTGTACTGTCTCAATAACACAACCATACGTATACCTAGCAAGTGTACTGTCTCAATAACACAACCACAAGCATACCTAGCAAGTGTACTGTCTCAATAACACAACCATAAGTATACCTAGTGAGTGTACTGTCTCAATAACACAACCATACGTATACCTAGCAAGTGTACTGTCTCAATAACACAACCACAAGCATACCTAGCAAGTGTACTGTCTCAATAACACAACCATAAGTATACCTAGCGATTGAACTGTCTCTTTAACACAACCAAAGGTATACATAGCAAGTGAACTGTCTCAATAACACAACCGGAAGTATACATAGAGAGTGTTCTGTCTAAATAACAAAACCATAAGTATACCTAGTGAGTGTTCTGTCTAAATAACAAAACCATAAGTATACCTAGTGAGTGTTCTGTCTCAATATCACAGCCATAAGTATACCTAGCGAGTGTTCTGTCTAAATAACAAAACCATAAGTATACATAGCGAGTGGCCTGTCTCAATCACATAACCATAAGTATACACAACCATAAGTATACATAGCGAGTAAACTGTCTCAATAACACAACCATAAGTATACACGACCATAAGTATACACAACCACAAGTATACATAGCGAGTGCTCTGTCTCAATAACAAAACCATAAGTATACCTAGCGAGTGTTCTGTCTCAATAACAAAACCGGAAGCATACCTAACAAGTGTACGGTCTCAATCACAAAACCGGAAGTATACCTAGCAAGTGTACTGTGTCAATAACATAACCATAAGTATACCTAGCGAGTGTTCTGTCTCAATAACAAAACCGAAAGCATACCTAGCATTTGTACTGTCTCAGTAACAAAACCGGAAGTATACCTAGCAATTGTACTGTCTCAATAACACAGCCATAAGTAACCCTAGCGAGTGTACTGTCTTAACCCTTTCACCCCTAGGTAACTTTAGTAGTTTCTACCATACATTGATCTGGATGAGTCCATTACAGTCTAAAGTGGTGAAAGGGTTAATAACACAACCATAAGTATACATAGCGACTGTACTGTCTCAATAACAAAACCACAAGTACACCTAGTAATTGTACTGTCTCAATAATAAAACCAGAAATATACCTAGCAAGTGTACTGTCCCAATTACAAAACCGGAAGTTTACCTAGCAATTGAACTGTCTCAATAACAAAACCGGAAGTATACCTAGCACGTGTACTGTCTAAATTACAAAACCGGAAGTATACCTAGCAAGTGTACTTTCTCAATAACACAACGATAAGTATACCTATTTCACAGACTTTATCAGTTTCCCTTGCTTGTGAACTTTAATCTTTGTTGTGTGAATATGAAAAATAAATATGGTTCGACACATTGCACTTAGATGATCGCATGCACTTGTTGGAAAGTTAAATTCGGTATTGTCGTATTTTTACAGCAAAAACATTTCCATTGCCATTTTACTTCCGAGTGACACGGATAACTATGAACATTAACGATGGTTGGTATGAAAACATACATTAGGCATTGATTATTTGAAGTTAAAATGAAATGGAACAGACTTGTTTGTAGCATTGAGTTACCATGATGGACACCACTTAGCCTAAACATTTGTAATGGTAAAATATACACGCATTTAACACCCAATATCTTCATAAGTGTTTGACCGTATTCCAGTTTGCCCTACGTTTGCACGTTGTTGAAAGCGTGGGTAAGTGTGTCTGGTAAGGAATGTCGACATTTTACTGTTACAACAGGTAATCTTTGTTCTTCTCGTCAATTACGATCAATATTGGATAGTTTTACACATGTACATCTAAATCCGTCGCCTTGACGACGAATGGCCATCCTCGGTTAATCAGTCAGAAACATGACAGAAATACCTACATTACATAGATACAAGGTTGATCACATGATGAATTATGACTGTAAAAGCATTTTTTCGAGGTGTGGAAAAACAAGCGCGAAAACACCCAGAAATGAATATTTATTTATAAATTATATACAATGTAGATCATAGATATACAGAATAGGCAGATTTCAGCATCATAGCCAACGCAAACATTTCCAAACTATAATCACACCGAAGAATCACAACACGAACATTTGCACATGCGAAAATTTCTTCTTAACTATTTACAACCTTACTCTGACATCAATTTTCTTTCCGAAAGACTATGAGGACAGTGCTAGACACTCTTATCATGAAATTTTTATGTGAATACTACAAATTACACTTAAAAGGCACATATGCTTGAAGTAATCCTTACTCAAAATATGGTGTAGACTGTAGTAATGATGTAGCGTTTATTATAACACCATGCAAACGTAGTTTGTAGGGATAAAAAGGAATCACCCTTACCGACCGTCTGTTCATAATCCTTGTAACGCAACTCCTCCTAAACCGTGTGTTGGATTTTTTTTGTATCTTGGCACATTTAAAGTACATCGTATGTAGATTTGCATGAAGAAAGGCATTTTGTGATGTTACTATTTTTCCTTGCGTTATGACTCTTGAAACTTTAAATTTATGCTCCACAAACTGCGTAGGTTCAACTCCTCCTTAATCGTTCGTTAGATTTTTGGAAAATTGGTACAGACAAACTACATCATATGCATGAAAAAAGTGAAATCGTGATTCGACTATATTTGTTGGAGTTATGGCCCTTGAAACTTTAACTTCTGCTGCAGCTCGCTAATGGTTTCTCTAGTGTATTAATTCAGGGAGATAGGTCAATTGAAGTCCCTAATGTGTAATTTCTAAGACAGAGTGTATTCTAACTTCACCTTTATGAATTCCGGAGTGTACAGTTTAAATATAACTTATGATATCTTAAATAGTTTTGGCATTATCTCTCAGAATCAGTTCTCCTCGTCCCCGGTATATTATATACGGACGAATAAACATAACAAGTACATCATCCGTGGATATTACACAGACCATACACACGTGATGAAACAGCAAAATCATTACACGATATATCAGATATATAGGTGTTGTATACCTAATCATTTATATGTGGTACACCAAGGAGTCAAGGGAGTAAATGGAGCCTGGATAATCTAGTTGCTATCAAAATTTGGTGGATTGTGAGATAGCTGAATACCAGGATACACTTCTGTACAGATCAATGCCAGACTCACCTCTACAACAATCGAGTCAACCGGATTAGTGGTGACTGGATTGTGAGATAGCTGAATACCGGATACAATTCTGTACAGATCAATGCCAGACTCACCTCTACAACAATCGAGTCAACCGGATTAGTGGTGACTGGATTGTGAGATAGCTGAATACCCGGATACACTTCTGTACAGATCAATGCCAGACTCACCTCTACAACACCCAAGTCAACCGGATTAGTGGTGGCTGGATTGTGAGATAGCTGAAAACCCATATACAACTTTGTACAGATCAATGCCAGACTCACCTCTATAACACCCGAGTCAACCGGATTAGTGGTGACTGGATTGTGAGATAGCTGAATACCGGATACAATTCTGTACAGATCAATGCCAGACTCACCTCTACAACACCCGAGTCAACCGGATTAGCGGTGACTGAATTGTGAGATAGCTGAATACCCGGATACACTTCTGTACAGATCAATGCCAGACTCACCTCTACAACACCCGAGTCAACCGGATTAGTGGTGGCTGGATTGTGAGATAGCTGAAAACCCAGATACAACTTTGTACAGATCAATGCCAGACTCACCTCTACAACACCGAGTCAAATGGATTAGTGGTGGCTGGATTGTGAGATAGCTGAAAACCCAGATCCACCTTTGTACAGATCAATGCCAGACTCCCCTCTACTACACCGAGTCAACCGGATTAGTGGTGGCTGGATTGTGAGATAGCTGAATACCCGGATACAATTCTGTACAGATCAATGCCAGACTCGCCTCTACAACACCGAGTCAACCGGATTAGTGGTGGCTGGATTGTGAGATAGCTGAATACCCGGATACAATTCTGTACAGATCAATGCCAGACTCACCTCTATAACACCCGAGTCATCCGGATTAGTGGTGGCTGGATTGTGAGAGCTGAATACCCGGACACAATTATGTACAGGTCAATGCCAGACTCACCTCTACAACACCGAGTTGACCGGATAAGTGGTGGCTGGATTGTGA